TTTCACAATCTATCTTCTTACATGTCTAGTATTAGGTTTGCAGAAAATGAATTACATTCATTATTCTACTAATATTGCCTTAAATAAACTAGTTCTGCAGATCACAAGTCGTATTTTATTCGAGAAATTCCCCTAAATCTACTAACGAAATATTGAAAACAGAATAGCACCATCAGCACAAATTAGAGGCGCAACTGCGCAGCGGTTACAATTCTATAATAAGAATTTCGATTCTAGAAATCGAACAGGCCTAGACTTATAGTTAAAAAATAACACTAATGAATCGAACGTTGTATGTCTACCCAGACGAAGGATTACTCAGACAAGATGAACTTTGGTAAACAAAATCTAATGAGTTCTAGAAAATAATGTAGAATTTGCATCTTGTCGATTTTCCCGCGCGTGTGCTGTAAAACTTCAGCGATTCCGAGTACCATGTTTTCGAGATTCTAATAAATAATTTACAAGGTATTTCTATTTAGTATCTCTATTCTAGTCAGTGAATATAGTGAATTAGAAATTGTGTGTTCAAGTTTATGGTTTTAACTACAGACATTCCTTTTTTATTAAGGATCACAATGAAAACTGTCCAGCAATCTCCTATCCCTAGCTTTATATATGTTGCTCAAAGCGGTCTTACCCGTTTTCTTTTATCCCATCAGATTTCCAAAGCAATATGCTTGAGATTTTGTAGTTTTTAAAAGGCTTACTACGTAGAAAAGTTTCAGTCAGATATTGCAATAAKTGTTCAGGCTTTTTCACCACAGTCCACGAGGTTTTTCCAAATATCTATCAGACCGTTGACTCGCTCCAGAGAGATCCATCCCTTCAAGATWTTTTGCCTTTCCAATAACTCAGCCGATTCTTTTAGCACTTTTACATTTAGGTTTGGTGGTTTTAAATCGTGGCTTCGGTTGTATCCTTCCTGTAGAGCATCAAGAGCTTCTTCAAAATMTTCCTCCCTCAAYTGTAGAGTGGATTTGAGGTCTTCCCATCGTTTACGAGCTTCAGCCTTTTCGTTTACTGTTTTAGAAAGCTTCTCAATATCTTTTTTCAGAGTTGCAATTTTGTAACTCCTTATGGGAGTGAAGTAGCCGGGAAGGATTTTCTTGTAGAACCCAGCTTGAATCTGTAGGCACATTTCTCCTAGAGTTTTCAAAGCATTCGCGTCTTCACTCGCTGGTACAGGCATTAGTGGAAGGGCACCGGGTACGTACCGAGACTGATGACGGATCTGCTTCTTTAGCACTTCATTCTCAGATTTAGTCGCCGCTAAATCTTTTTTGATCTCTTTTAAAGCGTAGTGAATCATTTTCATTTCCTCGTCCACCTTTGAGGACTTTTCTTTGTCGTCTTGCCTCGACTGTTGTAGGTTTTTCATTTCTTCTTCAATGCTCTTCAACTTGAACTGAACGGCAGCCAATTCCTCTTTAAGGATTTTCTTTTAATCTTCGAGTAGTTGTATACGTTTCTTCAAAATCTTCACTTCCTCGTCTTTTACTTCCAGTTTTATGAGAAGATTATTGTTGTTCTCTTCGAGTTGCTTTACATTTTTTCGAAGCTCGATTATCTCGGCGTCTCTTTGTTCGAGTTGTTCTTTCAACTCGCTGATTTCTCCTGTATGCCTTGTAATCTCTAAAGACTCGAAATTCACTGCCGGTTGTGCTACCAAACTTGTGATAAGACCGATTGCCTGTTCATCAGGAGACATATTTCTTGCCGCATTACCAAGATCCAGTTGTTGCTTGTTGGTCATTTTTAAAATGTGTTGGACAAACAGCCCGGTGAAAATCCTATCGTCTCCTTCAAACCGAAAGCTACAAGACCAATCACCAGTTCCGCGTGACAGCTGTAACAAGAAAGTTTTCCCAAGAATTTCACAAAAGGTGACATCAATCTCGTTGACCCAGAGCCGACCGGGAAGTAGCTTCTGATTGGTTAGTCGCAGTCGAAATTGCAAAAGGCGTTCGACGAAGGTTTCAAGCCATTAAAAATGTAAGAGTTGTGGCTGTGGATGAATATTGGTAAGTTTAAACACTTTTAAAACTAGTTAAATAGCCCTCAGGCTCTAACAACAACTAAAACGATAATTATGNNNAAAATTGTCATCCTAGATCGGGAGGGCAAACACGTTTTAGACCCAATATCGAAATACAGCAATTTTTATCGCAGCTATACAAAAATGGAATGCTCCAAAGAGAGCCTTGYGTTCCTGGAAAACGAAAGAAAAACCCGTGCATAACTTGCACGAGGGACCGCGAAAGCTTAACGGTGCGCAAAGCAAACAAAAGGCCTTGAACAACTTAGGGTGCATGAATTACCACAACACAAATATTATTATTAAACTTACAAACGAAAAACATGTAAAATGCTTCACAACCGCGAAGAACATATCGAAAAAATATTCGCCCTAAGACCACTACCCCACTCAAGGGTTTAAAACACAACCACAGAGTCGAAAGGCAAAACTTTTCACAAACGCCACTCGAGGGTTTTGAAACACAATCACACGAGGCAAAAAGCAAAACTTATTTCCACAAACACCACTACGTACTCCGTTTTAAAACMCAACCACACGAAGGGAAAGGCCGTAAACACCTTTTTTTCTTGACCGGAGATTAATATATAAAAAAWAATAATAATAATAARAGGGAAAATATATTTGCCTTAACAAGCGCTGGAGAGTCTGCCCCTTCGGTCGGTGAAATCTTCCTGGGATGTCTTGAAGTGGTTCTTCATTTTGTTTGCCTCGGACAGCTCCAAGCGCTTCGACGACCCTGTCCTGCGGTACTTYCAGAGTATTAGACATTGTTCAAAGCCTCAGTAAAGCTCGAAGTCTTGGTAAAGCCTGAGCTAGAAGGAACACGTCCGAACCGTAGCAGGCTTGGAGTGGAATGATTGATATGCTAATCAATTCTCATACATTTATACCAGTGAGACCACTGASAATAGTAGAAACGGCTTCTACTTTCCGCAACAGCTTTTATAAAAATTTATGTGTGACATGCTCGTGCAGCTTGTCTCTGTCGCACGAGAAATTGTACCGTGTGACAGGGGCTTAAGATAGTACTGTATGATTCCCACTAACACGCTAACTATTCTTATGGGAAGNATAGGATTCTCTGATTACTTTATCGGTCTGATAAAGATTAATTCATATTAATATTTTAGATAACTAATATTATCTATAATATAATTACTTCTCACACCAATGACGGCGTGTCTGTCACTGACGGGCGAAGAACAGACTACAGAGAACAGAGTCTATTCCTGCAAAGGAAAAACAAGCTAAAAAGAAAAAGAGAAACAATAAACAATAAACRAGGAGGAAGTGGCTCAGGGAATGACAGTCTTGAGCGCCAGTAATCCGACTGGGAAATTATACTCCCTTTCAAAAATTGTCATCCTAGATCGGGAGGGCAAACACGTTTTAGACCCAATATCGAAATACAGCAATTTTTATCGCAGCTATACAAAAATGGAATGCTCCAAAGAGAGCCTTGTGCTCTTGGAAAACGAAAGAAAAACCCGTGCATAATTTGCACGAGGGACCGCGAAAGCTTAACGGTGCGCAAAGCAAACAAAAGGCCTTGAACAACTAAGGGTGCATGAATTACCACAACACAAATATTATTATTAAACTTACAAACGAAAAACATGTAAAATGCTTCACAACCGCAAAGAACATATCGAAAGAATATTCGCCCTAAGACCACACTACGCCACTCAAGGGTTTAAAACACAACCACAGAGTCGAAAGGCAAAACTTTTCACAAACGCCACTCGAGGGTTTTGAAACACAATCACACGGGGCAAGAGGCAAAACCTATTTCCACAAACACCACTACGTACTCCGTTTTAAAACACAACCACACGAAGCGAAAGGCCATAAACTACTTTTCTTTTGACCGGAGTTTAATATGAAAATAAAAAAAACAAAAACAAAAACAAAAGGGAAAATATATTTGCCTTAACAAGCGCTGGAGAGTCTGCCCCTTCGGTCGGTGAAATCTTCCTGGGAGATCTTGAACTGGTTCTTCATTTTGTTTGCTTCGGACAGCTCCAAGCGCTTCGACGACCCTGTCCTGCGGTACTTCCAGAGTATTAGACATTGTTCAAAGCCTCAGTAAAGCTCGAAGTCTTGGTAAAGCCGGAGCTAGAAGGAACACGTCCTAGCCGTAGCAGGCTTGAAGTGGAATGATTGATATGCTAATCAGTTCTCATACATTTATGCCAGTGAGACCACTGAGGATAGTAGAAACGGCTTCTACTTTCCGCAACAGCTTTTATAAAAATTTAGGTGCGGCATGCTCGTGCAACGTGTCTCTGTTGCACGAGAAATTGTACCGTGTGACAGGGGCTTAAGTCAGTACCGTATGTTTCCCACCCATACGATAACCATTCTTATAGGAAGCCATTTCAATGTTACGGCATGTCGTACCGTGTACGTGCTGTAAGTCAGTACCGTATGTTTTCCACTCATACGATAACTATTTCCATTTCTTTAATGTCGAGTCTAGAAATCAAATCCCATGATCCAACAGCCGTATGTGAGAGGACAGTACACTAATAGCTCCTCACGTCATTTCTTACCCCTGCAACTTTGATTTTGGAAATAATTTTATTTTTCTGCACAAATGAAAATATTCATAAGAAGACATGTGATTTTATTGGACTTCATTTGGTGATTCTTATATATTTATAACATGTCTCCTTTTTTTTGAGACAGAAGATAAAAACTATTAAAAATTATGGCTTAAGCCTAGTGTGACTTGCACAAGGGTCTTACACTGCTAGCTAACCTTTTTGCAAGAGTGCCTTTTTTATAGTCTTGTACTAAGTAGTAATTATTAAATAAAAACCTTAGAAACAACAATATACAGTTTGGTAGAGGGACGCACCC